AAGTAACCGTCGATTCGACGGGTTTCACCTAGTCAGTGTGGTTGTTCTATACACTGACCATAGCTGGACCCTTACAGGATTGGAGTTTTTCACCTATACCAGACCTGAAGAGCAACAGATTTCAGCCTTCCTGCACACAATATAACTCAGTTCAGTAAGAAACCATCCTTTATCGGCTGCAAGATTATCATTACATTTTTTGCGACAAGATGGCCGATGGATAACTATCAGTTTTGAGTGTCTTTGACGTTTTCATTGTGTTTTGATTTTTAACTTATCTACACATCGACTCACCCTGCAATTAGTCTTCGCAAAGTAACAGTGAGTTTCTATGACCATGAAATGTGAAAATCCCGAAGCTCACAAACCCACGATTACCTTAGTAACATCAGCCCTACCTCTCCAAATTATTATCTTATTCATCATTCGAACATTCTGCATTCTTCAAAAAAGTCCTAACCGTCAAATTCAAATTCCCATCGATCCGTTCCTTGTTGTCTAAAAGTTTCTTCTTCTTCATTCAACGGTCAAGGAATAAATACTTTGAGAGTTGGGAAAAAACAAAATGGGAAACCAAGAGCCCTCAAGATGTTCCTTAATACTGCCCACGAAGCTCGGAATATCCTCTCCATGTTCCCTCATGACCCTTCAGCTATAACAAATTCAAAATTTTCATCAGTATCGATTGGCAGGGATAAAACACCTCAGGAACAGAATTACCTTAAATCCCTTAAAGATGAACTAAAGCAAAGAGAACTTGATGGAAAAAACCTAACTATTAAATTCAAGAACAATTTCCCATCCATAGTTGAAGCTTCAAAAAACTATTAGTTTTTAATTATCGCAACCAGTTAGCATGCTATTACCAAAATGTCAACGGTCGCAGGAGCAAGCTTAACCTTTTCACAAGAACTGTGGCAGTATGTCCATACGACATTATATCTCTCACTGAAACCAATTTAACATCTGATATAAATGACAGTGAGCTCAGGCTCTCGGATTATACTACCTTCAAATATGACAGGACCGATACCACTAGTAACAAATCAAGTGGTGGCGGAGTCCTAATTGCTGTTAGAAACCATATTTCGTGTCAACAAATCATATCTACTATAAATGAAATTGAATGCTTGTTTGTGCTATGAAAGTTATCTTCAACTTCAATTCTTATTGGTAATGTCTACATACCACCAGGCCAGCCTACTCCCATCTACTCCACACTGTGTGACGTTTTTGATGAGATTATGAATTTAACCAAGAATCCAACTTCAACTTACATAATGGGTGATTTCAACTTACCGGATGCCAACTGGACCGACCCAAAGTCTTTGATATTAACCCCTTCTTCGCGCTACATCAGGGACACCTTTTCATCCCATGGACTCACACAAGTCAACACAGTCCTGAATCACAGGGGGGTTTGCCTTGATTTAGTTTTCTCATCTGATGATGGTCTTGAGGTGAAGACTGCAGAGGATATATTGCTGCATGAAGATATACACCACCCTGCTTTGACTTTCTCCTTCAGGGTCACTGACCACCCAATTTCTCAAGGCCCCACATACATCCATGATTTCCGTCGCTGCGACATGAGTGCTGTTTTTGATAGTCTGCTCCAACTAAACTATCCCACTTTTACCGATCACCAGAGCATTGAAGATGAATTTAACAATTTCTACAATTACCTGGAATCTGTGATCAAACAGTACACGCCTATGAGAAAAGTCGACAGTTGTAAATTTCCTCTATGGTTTTCAAAGCATCTTAGAAGTTTGGTAATTCAAAAGAAGATTCTGCATAAAAACTACAAGTCACCCCTGTCCAAACAAGACTACATCAACTTTCAACATATAAGAAGAATCTGCAATCAACTTACCAGCCAATGCCGCTCTGAATATCTAAACAAAGTCGAGAAGAGCATCCCCTCAAATATAAAATCCTTCTGGTCTTATGTTAACTGTCAAAAAAGCTCCACTTCTCTTCCATCTTCCATGTTTCTTGATTCCGATGAGGCTACTGACGCAGGAGGAAAATGTAACCTTTTCTCAAGATTCTTCTCATCCGTATTCAACCTGAGCAACATACCACAGCCAACTTATGACTTTGGGTTGAATCAGTCAATAAACTGCTGCAACTTTTCAGCCATAGACGTACAAAGTAAGTTGGAGGCACTTGATCCAAACAAGAGTGCTGGACCGGATGACATTCCACCTGCTGTACTCAAATACTGTGCTCCTATTCTTGCCCCTCACCTCTATATTTACTTTACAAAACATCTCCAAGTGGGCGTTTTTCCTTCGTCTTTGAAGAAAAGTTATGTTGTCCCCATATTCAAATCTGGCTGCAAAACCAACGTACGAAATTACAGACCTATTGCCATTCAGCCTGCCTTATCCATGATTTACGAAAGTCTCATTCTTGATTCCTTAAGTTTTCAGCTCAGCAAACACATTGTTACCGAACAACATGGATTCATGCAAAATCGCTCCTCCAGTACCAACCTCCTTATCTTTCAAAATGCCGTAATGACAGTGTTAACTGAACACTCTCAAGTAGATTGCGTTTATCTGGACTTCAGTAAGGCCTTCGACAGGATTGACCATCGACTGCTGATTGCAAAACTAGAAGGATATGGCACATGTGGCTCATTACTCTGCTGGATGAAGAGTTACCTCACAGGTCGCATCCTCATTGTTAAATGTGACAGAGGCCTGACTCCCCCTTTCTCAGTCACTTTGGGAGTGCCTCAAGGCTCTCACCTTGGCCCACTGCTGTTCAATCTGTTCGTCAATGACATCTGCAATTCGATTACAACAAAGTTCCTTCTGTTTGCTGATGACATAAAGATTTTCAACAAAATCACTTCGACAGATAACCAAGAAGAACTCCAACTCTCGCTCAACAACATTAGCACCAGGTGTAAATTGAATGCTATGGAACTCAACGTCTCGAAATGTGTGGTCATGTTCTTCAGTCGAAGTAGCGTGGTGCATGAAAATGTTTATTGCATTGATGGCAGCAGTCTTAGTGTGGTCCAGAGAATCAAGGATCTTGGTGTGATTACCACTCCCTCCCTTTGCCCACTTGAACATTTGGTGTATTTGTCTTCTAGAGTATCCTCTCTGCTGGGTTTTATCTACCGCTCTACGAGACCCCTTAAATCTCCTTTAACATTAGTCACCCTGTACAAGTCACTAGCACGGCCAATTTTAGAATACTGCTCCGTCATTGGTCTCCATATCAAGTAGGCCACATGGACATCCTAAACAGAATCCAGACACGTTTCCTCAGACTGCTAGGTCTTAAACTTGGATTCCCCTTCCTGCAAGCACCAGTGACAGCCCTGGCCCAACAGTTTGATATACAACCTCTTCCAGGGAGACGACGGGTCTGTGACATCATCTGCTTGTATAAACTGGTAAATGGAATCATTGATTGTCCTGAGTTATTAAACGGCATCGACCTCACCATTCCCAGGGGCACTCGATCAAGAGCAGTCTTCACAAGGAGATACAGATACCAGCCGACTAACTATGCTTGTAACCACGGCATCTTCAAAAGAATCCGGATGCCAACTTACCGGAAGAAACATGATATATAATCTTCCTGAGTCATCTAGCCCTGATGTTGAAACCAGAAAAACTCATGATCTCGATCTTATCACGGAACTATTCCAACCATTTGTTTCTTCATTCAACGGTCAAGGAATAAATACTTCGAGAGTATTTATTCCACTCTATTAATCCACTCCTATATATTTAAGAGAGTATATGTTTAATCCACTCCTGAGAACCAGCGAAGATGTGTCTTCTCGTCTCGACTTCTTCGGGCCATCACCAGCTTCATTCAAGCGAGACGTCCGGAGGCTACTCCACTAAAGTAAAGTGACCTCGCTACAGTGTTCTGGTCATGAAACAGTGTTGTGTTTTGTTATTGGTGGCGCCTTTAAAGGGTCACAACCACATTTTTGTTTCGATTTATTTGCTGTTTGCATCAGTGTCTATCTTTTGTTATCTTTTTTATAAATTTTACCACTGTTGCCTACTTCATTCATTATCACTGATATCTATTTATAGTCTGTTATTGTTATCACTATTACTTGTTTCCGTATTGCATCTATCACCACTGTCAGTATTGTTGCCAATTATTATTGTTAACTAGTTATAGATTTTTTATCGCCAAGCATGTTATATATTTTATTTGTTATTGTTACCTATAGTTATACATATAACCATAGTCTGTTATTCGCTGAGCATGTTATTTAATTATTATGATTACAGTACCTAGATAATTCAACTTTCACTCTTCAATTGTTATCACAACTGCATGTCATTTTCATTGAACATGTTTTTCATCTTTTCATTTTAATCTTTGCATGTATCACTAATGTATCTGTAAAACATTATCAGCATGTAATAAGCATCTTGTCGCATGTATCACAATGTAAAACGATTGTAAAAAATGGTGTTTGACGTAAAAATAAATAAATAAATTACACTGTCTCATGACCTCTAATGCAGAGACTACAGGACTGGGTGATGGAACAACCTGTTAAAGAACAAGTACCAAAAGGGTCTTATTCTGTCTACATTGTGCTTATCAAATGTATATCATTAGATATTTTTAGAATAATAGGTGTGTTGGTTTAAAAAATAACAAAACAATGTAAATAACTATACAAGAATCATAGCTGCTGCATACATAAACAAAGTCAACCAAGCCAAGATATTACTATTTTAACAGAATATAGACTGGAAAAGAAGATATAGATTAATGACATTGACCAAAGACTGCTTTCAGAGTATATAGTAATGATTTTCCTGGAGCAAAGCTTGATAACCAGTTACTATGTTATATCAGAATTGGATGCGGATGATCTAGTGGAGCATGGGACATCAGTCAAGGTCATATTTAAAACACATAGCTCTCAACATCCATGATGGTTTTATTTTTAACTGTATTGGTAAAATATAAAATCCATTATTTTAAACAAAACATTGTTTTTAATAAATGCTAGTAACTTCATAACTGGCTATTAAATTATATAAAATATTTAAATTCAAAACATTTAAAAATAACAACCTTTCTGACAAAAAAAATCAAATGAAAAATGTAACAACGTAATCCTACCAAGTTACCGTAGTTTTATTGGTAGATGTAATCTATGATAAGAAATGTTCGTCATAGTCGGTGAACACTTTGTCACATTTTCTCTTCACTCGAAACCTCAAAAGAGGTTTGCTATCTCTGTCTTGCTGGTGGGTGGTAACGAACACTGAAGATCCTTTGTCAATGGTTCCTGTAGAAGAAAATATATACAAAATTTAAAAGTAGGATTATTAATCTTAATTCAGTTTTTATTGCCTGTCTGTTTTCGTTATGATAGTTTAATGTGTACATGTCAAAGCTACATAACACATATTAAAACTGCTACCCACAGCAGTTTTTATTAGGGCTGCTACGTAGTACGTGCGTGTGGTGTGAAAGCTACGTTGAGGAAAAGAGTGAAATGTAGAAATTGTTGTAATGTCTAACTTTCATTTGCCTGCCTAATTTGAAAAGTTGTAAATACTTTAATACTTTTTTATGAAAAGTATTAAAGTATTAATAACTTTTGGTTAATGTTATATTTCTATATTGTTATGAGTTTGTTTATAGTTTGACCTGTTGATGCATTCTATCTTATTCCCAATTAAATTAGTTTAATTTTAACTAACTGTCTAAATCATTTTATATGATCAGGGTAATTAGTCGCTGCAGCTCAACTCTGCTATTTCACCAACATCAGCTTATGGGCCTCCTGTTTACTGATTTGTGATTTCTCTGATTATTTTGTCCAAGTTCACCAACTTTGAAAATGTAATAACCTCCTTCAATAGAGAAATTGAAAGGCCGTGAAAACTATGATACATGGAAAGTTGCCGTTCAAGCATATTTGGAAGATTGTGAGCTCTGGGACTGTATTTTGGGAACTGGAGAAAATAGAAAGAAAGTGACAAAATGTAAATACAAAATGATCTTGCTAATTGATTCAGTTAACTATGTCCATGTTCAATCAACAGAAACAGCCAAGGAAGCCTTGGAAAATTTATAAAAGGCATTTTTTGACAGGGGTTTGACCTGAATAGTTGGTTTGCTGCGATTGTTAACAACAAGGGTAGAAAATTTTAAATCCATAGAAGATTATGTAAATCAAATTGTATCAACGGCCCACATGCTAACTAACAATGGTCTGAAAGTGGATAATGAGTGGGTAGGATCAATTCCAACCAATGTTCGTGGGTATTGAAAGTTCTGGTGTCAAGATAACGGCTGGTTCAATCAAAACTAAACTACTTCAAGAAGTATCCATGGAAAATTAATCTTCCAAATTCATTGCGATGTACGGATATGTTTGAAGAGAAAATTCAAAGCCAAGTTTTCAGAACAGCCACAGACACACACTTCAAGCCAAAAGAAACTCACCGAAGACAAGAAACGGCAAGATAGCAAAGATTACAAGGGTCCTTGATTTTTCCAATGCAATGGTCATGGTCACATATCAAGAAACTGTGACAAATCAGCACCAGAAATGGTAGGGACAGTTGTAAGTCTAAACAGAAACTTCACTCTTTGCTGCCTTCTCAATGCAAACAGATTTAAGTAGTGATTGGTATCTAGATTCAGGAGCTAGTGCTCATTTATGTGTTGACAGTGTGATATTTGAAAATAAAAGGAAACAAGCTGCTATACCCGTGCTTTGCAACGGGAAGAAAATGTGACCTAGAGAGCTATTAAAGTGGTGCTGATGAATGTTTTAAAATACAGCAACTAACTCTATGATTTAGTTTGATAAAATAATTTAATTTAAAAGCGTAAACCTACTTACTTTCAAACCCCTACTTTTGATGTTAAGCAATAGCATCAATTGCTTCATATTGATGCTTCATGAATGACATGTTTAACCATAATTCTTCAATATTAGTCAAGCCTCTTGACATGTAGCTTACTCTTAAATTAAAAAATGAAACTTTGAGCAATTACTTTACAAAACGTATACAACCTCCGTTTTAAAACCAAACATAACCCTCCTCAATCTACATAACTCACAAAACAAACATCTTTTTCGAGTAAATAAACAAACACCAGTTCATTGTACTGACCAGCTGTTTCATTAACTAAAATTAAACTAAATCATTTAAACATTGAAAGCATGCCAGGCGTAGCCCTTTGGAAATCAGCCTGTGGGGCAGAGCCCTTAGGAAATTTGTCCATATTAATACTTTTTGGAAAATCTAAACACCCGAAACTTCATTTTGATGTGCCATATGCCTATATTTTTATTTGGTAAATGACATTATACACATACATACACAAGAACACATGGACATCCCCTAATGGAACCACTAGAAATCAAATAGACCATGTCCTAGTAGACCAACGTCACAAAAGCAGCATAACAGATATAAAAAGTATAAGGGGGGCAGAATTCGGAACAGACCACTCTTTAATGTTAGTTAAGGTAGCCCAAAGAATCGCAATACATAAAAGAAAGGAAGAAATATATAATTTACATATTGACACAGAAAAGTTAGAAGACAAACAGGTAACAAGAGAATTCAAGCTGAAACTAGAAAACAGATTCCAAGCTTTACAAAACCTCCAAGTAGAAGAGGATGTAAATAAAAACTGGAGTGTGTTTAAGGAAAGCATAATAAAAACAGCGAAAGAAGTGTGTGGGAAAAGAAAAGAACCAACAAAAAACCCTGATTTGATAAGGAATGTGAAACAAAGGTAATAGAGCAAAAGGAGAAGAAAAGGGCATGGTGGTCAGTCCATAGAAGATAAACAACAATACAATGAAATAAGTAGAGAAACAAACAGAATATTGAGACAGAAGAAAAGAAGGTACATAAATAGTCTGATTGAAAAAACAGAAGAAGAGTGCACAGCAAATAATGCACGAGATTTTTACAAAAAAGTAAGGTTTTCAAAAAAGGTTACACTCCAAACCCTTATGGAGTGAAAAACAAAGAAGGCATTGTTGTTACAGAAACCCAACAGATTATGGAAAGATTGAGAGAATGTTTCTGCGACTTACTAAATGTAGATGGTGTGGACTTTGCACCAGAAGAAGATAACGATGACGTATACTATCACGTTCATCCAAACCAGGGAAGAAGTCGAAGCAGCAGTCAAAGTTCTAAAGAGCAATAAAGCCCCGGGCAGAGATGGGATAACAGCAGAAATACTGAAGAAGAGAGGGGGAGTAGTAATAGGAAAGCTTTGGGAACTGATAAAAATAATCTGGGAGAGAGAAGAAATTCCAGAAGAATGGAGGGAAGCAATAGTAGTCCCCATTCACAAGAAAGGAGAGAAAGAAGAATGTAGTAATTTTAGAGGGGTAGCTGATTTTTATCCCCCTGGAATTTTACCCCCTGGGCAAACGTGACGTCACAAACCAGGGGGTAAAATTCCGGCCGCGAACTTTTGAGTTTCGCGACATCAGCTCGATGGATTAAACGCGAAATTAAACATATATTTTCACGGTTGTGAATTTAATCAGAACACATCAAATTATAAAAACCTAGAGTGTACGACCCGGATTTTTACCCCCGGAATTTTACCCCCTGGCCAGATATATAAATTAGTGATAATGATTAATTATCTTCATTCTGTTTTAATTTAATAGTAAACATTTTATTATTAAGTAGCCTATATTAATTTATTTGTAACATTAACTAACCGAACAGGTTTTTAATTTTAATTTTGAGATTCTAGTAATTAGAATTCAATCTTTGAAGCTAACAGTTGGTAAATATGACGTATAAACAATCAACTGAATGATAATTGTTTTGAACATTTCTTTATAAAATAAATAAATAAAGATAGGCTACTAAATAATGAAATGTTTACAATTAATTAAAAACAGAAATAAGAAAATCAAACATTCAATTTCTAAAAGCGGCCAGGGGGTAAAATTCCAGGGGGTAAAAATCCGGGGGTAAAAATCCGGCCCGTACATCTTCAGTTGTCTAAACGCTAGTTATATGGACAGGGGGTAAAATTCCGGTTTTTATTGCTAATCTAATTAATCAAGCTCTGTCTATTTTCATTAGACTTCCAAATCGCGGGGGTAAAATTCCGGCGGCGAACAAACTTTTGGCCACTCAGGTTACTACGTCATAGTGACTTCAGCTTTGCCCAGGGGGTTAAATTCCAGGGGGATAAAATTCCGGCGACCCATTTTAGAGGCATATCACTCCTTAGTATACCGTACAAAGTTTTATCAAAGATAGAATCGGATCGAAGAATATACAAATGAACTAATCCTAGATCATCAGGCTGGTTTCATGAAAGGCAGGTCCACAATGAATCAAATATTTACCCTTAAAGAAGTCATATCAAAGTATTGGGAGTTTAATAGGGAGTTTTTTGCAATATTTGACGTACGATGATTAATCATTGATAAAGAAAACCCCTCAATATATTTCATATAAGTTTGCCAAAAGACTGTTTAATAATTAATATATAAACAGTCATATGTTTTTCAATTGTTTTGTAAACAGAAAATAGTTTAGTATGTTGTTTTGTTGAATACAATAAAGAAGATACCTAGTTTTTGTTAAAATTTATTTTGTCATTTCTAATGTTTGATATTAATCGTCCGTGATATCAAAGGAATTGAATCACGTACAGTACAGTGACGATATCAATTGGCGACCGTGACAGGACTTTAAGAAGAAATGGCAAAATTAGGAGAACCACCAGCAGACCCGGTGAGTATGTTACTAGTAAAGATTTCGGCACAGTTAGATACTCGATCAAAACAATTGGATACTCATTTGGCAGGCATCAAAAACGTAATTTCATCCTCCATTAAAAAGATTTTGGAAAACCAAAACCAATCAAAATTAAAATTAGAAACTAAACTTATTACTAACACCTATGAAACAGACAAATCGGACATCGAAACTAAATACAATGAAATCAAATTCAACAACCTTGAAAATATCTTGGAGTTAGCCGAGGACTCATCGGCCATCCCGGGAGGTATAGAGATCCTACGTCAGACAGAGACGTTTGAAGACTCATTGGCCATTCCGGGAGGTATAGAGATCCTACGTCAGACAGAGACGTTTGATGACTCATCAGCTATCTTGGGAGATAGAGAAGAGATCTTTCGACGGACAGTGATGGTCGAGGACTCATCAGCCATCTTGGGAGATAGACAAGAGATCCTGCGGCCAACAGAGAGGGTCGAGGACTCAACGGTCATCACAGGAGGTGCAGAAGAGATCTTGCGACGGACAGTGATGGTCGAGGACTCATCAGCCATCTTGGGAGATAGACAAGAGATCCTGCGGCCAACAGAGAGGGTCGAGGACTCAACGGTCATCACAGGAGGTGCAGAAGAGATCTTGCGACGGACAGTGATGGTCGAAGACTCATCAGCCATCTCGGGAGATGAGGATGGGATCCTGCATTGGACCGATGCTCCTGGGGTCACGTCAACCGCAAAGGACACCGAGATACGACCTGCACTCAATATTACGTCGTGTGAATATTTCGAGGAGGCCAAGGATACGATGAGAGGGAAGGAGCAAGAACTGAAGATCAGGCAGTGGGACAAGATGGTCCCTAAACACTGCAACAGGCAACATTGTCTGTTACAGTACCAACAAAAGGTGGAAAGGGAAAGGAAGACCAAAAAGATAGAATACCTTTACTTACAACTGAGAAATCGTCAGAAGTTGCGGCAGGTCAACCAGTCTGAGAGTTATGGTGAAGGTAGTGGAAGAGTAAGGAAAAAGAATGGTGGAAAATATGTGGAATCTGCAAGTGAAGAAGGAAGTAATGAAGAGGGACGGAGAAAGAAAGGAAGACCTTCTAAGAGAAAGGCACTTAAAAAGAAAAACACCACATATTCCAAGAAAAAGAGGTTCAAGTGCAGAAATGAATCTAGATCCAAATTTAACACCTAGTTTTAAAATTTTTGAAATATATATTGAGGGTTTTGGGGGGGATGATTGACGTACGATGATTAATCATTGATAAAGAAAACCCCTCAATATATTTCATATAAGTTTGCCAAAAGACTGTTTAATAATTAATATATAAACAGTCATATGTTTTTCAATTGTTTTGTAAACAGAAAATAGTTTAGTATGTTGTTTTGTTGAATACAATAAAGAAGATACCTAGTTTTTGTTAAAATTTATTTTGTCATTTCTAATGTTTGATATTAATCGTCCGTGATATCAAAGGAATTGAATCACGTACAGTACAGTGACGATATCATATTTATTGATTTCCGAAAAGCGTATGATAGCATAAACAGAGAGAAACTGTGGAAAAAGATGGACAAATTTGGAATCCCAACCAAACTTATAAACCTTGCTAGAACAACTGTAGCAAATTCCACATGTTCAGTAAAAGTAAATGGGAGAGTCTCGGAGCCCTTTACAGTAAATGCAGGGGTAAGGCAAGGGGATGGGCTCTCCCCAATCCTCTTCAACCTAGCAATAGAAGAAGCTCTACAAGAAGTGGCAACAATAGATAAGGGAATTCCAATTGGCTCCAGAATTAACATATTAGCGTTTGCAGACGATGTCGTCATTTTTGCAGAAACTTTAGAGGACCTACGCCAACTAACAAAAGTATTTATGGACAAAACAGGACAATTAGGACTAAAAGTAAATGATGGGAAAACCAAATATATGCAATTTTCAAGAAATCAAGGTATAGCCCAAGACCCACTGCAGGTAGATGACCATAAATTTGAAAAAGTAGAACATTTTAAGTACTTAGGGGTTATCTTATCCAGGGAAAACAAAGAAGAAATAGAAATTCAAAATAGACTAAATCTGGCAAATAGATGTTTCTACGCTTGCAACAGACTGATGTCCTCTAAGTTACTGTCAAAAAACACCAAAGTTAGAATTTATATTATTTAAATTTATTTCTCCGGCATAAACGTATGGATCACCTCAACTATGATTATCTGACAAAATTGTCAAATGGCTTGGTGCATGGAATCAATCTTTCTGATAAAAAGCCTGATATTCCTTGTGAATCATGTGTATTTGGCAAAAGCCACCGACTACCTTTCCAACCAAGTAGCAGTAAAAGTAGTGAACTGCTAGAATTGGTACATTTTGACTTGGTTGGACCGATGGAAGTAAATATTATTTTGCTGGTTCTAAGTACATTCTTACTTTCCTAGATGATTTTAGCCATAAAACATTTGTTTATTTCTTGAAGACAAATGATCAAATTTATGAAACATTCAATTCTTTTGAACATCTGGTAGAAAATCAAACTGAGAAGAAAACAAAACTCTGATAACAGATGGAGGTGTTGAGTATTGTAGCAAGAAGTTTTCTGAGTTCTATGAGAAGACAGGTATTGTACATCAGACTAGCTGTCCCAGTTATACGCCACAGCAAAATGGTAAAGCTGAGCGATTGAACCGCACAATAATGGATCGTGCCCGATGTTTATTGCTTGACTCCGAGCTGCCTAAATGTTTTTGGGCTGAAGCAGTTAACACTGTTTCTTACCTGTTAAATCGCTCACCGAGTAGGACAATATCTTCGACTCCCGAAGAATTGTGGTCAGGTCAAAACCCAACCCTCTCTCACGTAAAGACATTTGGTTGCAAAGCTTATGCACATGTTCCAGCACCAAATCGTAAGAAACTGGATGCAAGATCAACGCCAAGTATTTTAGTAGGATATCGCTCTACAACAAAAGGCTACCGTCTCTACAATCCGAGGACAAAAAAAGTACTAATTTCAAGAGACGTGACATTTTCTGAATGTGAATAAGGCAGTATTTTGCCGAAAAATGGTCGGGAACAAGAGGATTACATGTTTTACATTTCCCCAGAAGATTTTCCTGTAGAAGCACCCCAAGAATATGAATATGACTCAGCAGATTCTAACTTTGAAGTCAATGAAAGTTCTGAACTTGAAGAAAATCATCCGTTGCCAGTATCCAGTGATCGACCTCATAGAGTCCGTCAACCTCCCAAATCTCTTGAGGATTATGTAACTTATTATGCCGAGAATGATGAATCTAGCAACGATCCAACAACCCTGAAAAAAGCAATGGAAAGCCCTGATAGGGAATTGTGGGTACAAGCCATGAATCAGGAACTTTCATCCCAGATACAAAATAATAGTTGGGAGCTTGAGTTTGTTTAAAGTTTGACCTGTTTCCATTCAGTTGATGCATTCTATCTTATTCCCAATTAAATTAGTTTCATGTTAACTAACTGTCTAAATTATTTTATATAATCAGGGTAATTAACCGCTGCAGCTCAACTCTGCTATTTAACCAACATCAGAAATAGCACAAAGAATATAACAATAGTTATTTGTGCAACTAGTGAGAAAAGTGAGCAATTGACTCACTCGAGAGAAATCCTTACTCACGAGCCGTAGGCGAGTGAGGAATGGTTTCTCGAGTGAGGCAATTGTACTTTGAACTCGAGTTGCACATTATACTTTTCCTACAGTTACCATAAAACTAATAAATTGGTGAAGAAACATAACCTATTTTTACACAGAAGTGAACTTTTAATATAACATTTAATGTGAAGTGACAAATACAACAGTACAACAGCTGACCAGCTGATTTACAGCCAGTGCTGCCAACGTATTTCGCGCGCATACGGCGTTGCCTGCATGTTACGCGCTCACTATTTCGTGCCTTCACGTTGAAAATCTGGAGTGAGACAAAGTAATTAGAGTGAGACAATGTTAACATTGTCTCACTGATGAGCGAATTGGCCACTTTGCTTTCTCAAATCAGTGAGAGAACATGTACATTGTTCGGTAACTGTAGGAAAATTTATGAACAGTTGGGACTCTGGGCAAGTGGAGTGACCATCAAATCATTAAGTGACAACAAATAACAAATTAAATGTATAAAGCTAAGCCCATAGGAGGGTTTTCTGTTTATATTTCTTAATCAATTCAATGTATTTTTAATAGGTTAAGTACAGCAATAAACTTTTTCTAATAGTAATAAAGGAAACCCAAAAGTATTAAACATACAACAGAATGGTCCAGGGAGAAGAATGACAAGTAGAAAGCCTAAGGCAAGTTTGTGGCATTAGGCCTGGAGGTATGAGGAAGTCTTGGAGCCTCATAAGAGATGTCATAATTAGGAAGCTGCATACCAAACCTACTGAACAGGCCCGTGGTTTGCATATGATGCGCTATGAGCCAGAGAGGTGATTGTGCCCCTCTCTACATACATTATATGGAGAATTACTCTTCCTTGTGCACCCAACAAACCTTCTCGGTTAATATAGTTGTGCCACTGGGCCCATTTATAATACTGGACCTGCTACTGAATCGGCTTTGTTGATGAGGTCAAGTACTGACTGACATAGGCCTACAAGTGGCCAACTTAGTAAGTAAAAAGGATATAATAGTTTACGTAGAAACAGTTAACTTCAACAATTCCTTAGCCCAAAACAATGTGAATACTTAGCACATAATATTCCTTCAGGTAATTTTAAATGTTTATGCTATATTAGTGGATGGCAGCATGGTTATAATGAGAAGAATGAGAGATTCTCTAGGTCAACTTATCTATACATATACTGAATATGTATCTAAGTGTATGTAAGTGATTTTCTTATGAATGTACAGTAGACCCTTTCTAATCCGGCACTGTACCACTCTGGCACTCTAGTAATCCGGCATCTTTTGACGGGTGAGATCTTCCGTGATCGCGGCAAAATTCTCATTATCTCCCAGACATAATCATCCACTCCTGCGGTCACGGAAACGTCATCGTCGTCATGCGCAATCGTAGCAAAATCATGAACATCTCCCACGGACGTTTAGACGTTATCATCGCCTCCCGCGGTCACGGAAACATCATCGTCGTCATGCCCAATTGTGGCAATAGGGGTTTCCGATCTCGCGATCTTCGGAGATGTGTTTTAAGTATCACGGTCCTATATCTTCTGGATTACTGAGAGTCTACTGTATATAAAGAAGTTTACAGGTGTATTTATAGGTTACCTTTCTCATGAGCGGCCGCCAGCCGACTCACTACTTGTCTCTCTACTTCGTACTTGATGCTTCGAGCTCCATAGTGAACATCGTACCCTTCCGCTAACACACTTTCTACTCTCCTCGCCCACTCTAGAGAAATCATGTGTTTCTCTTGCGCCTGATGAGAAAAAGGAGGGTTAAAATAATGATCATGCCTTTAAATGACCCAACACATAGAGTTTGCCGTTGGTACCCAATGTAACATTAATCCAACCTAACAGTCCGCACAATTCTTGTAAACCCAAAGCACAACATAATGGTTCCAAGCATTAGTTCTAGATTCGGTTTTTAGCCATTTTTGATTAGTTTTGCTTGCACAGATATTTGTGAGTGAAGGTTTGGTTCTTTCAATGTAGATATATTAGCATTTGGGGCACAAAGGATAGAACTGTGTTGATAATCTATAAAATAGTAAAACGGTATTTAATCTAAACATTTAAAAATAGTTTGCAGTTTGATCATTGTTATTGACTTGTTTGTTTAAACAAACTACAAAAACTTTGGCAACTGTTATACATTTATTTACTCACCTTTTTCGCCCAAGTGCACAACTCTTTTGAAACCAACTTGTTAAGTTCAGCATTTGAAAAAGGAAGAAAGTAAACAATTTCGTTGATTCTTCCGAGAAATTCGTCTCTGCCAAAATGTTTCTTCAAAATTGGTCTAACCACTTTGTCTTTGAAGTGACGAGAAATAGTTATGTTTGAAGAGGTTTCTTCATCTGGAATAAATATTTTCATTATAAAAGAAAATTTTATAAATATTGAATGAAAATAATAAAAGGAAGAATAAAATAAGTTATGTTAAAAAAAAAACTAAAATATAGGTACCTCATTGAATTAATTCAAAACAACATGAGGATAATATCACCAAATTCTAGGTATTTCTATGTTTTTTTTCCTCTATAGAATATAGCTGGGCAGCTGAGCTGTTCTAGTTCTGGTAAAAATTTATGAAAAGTCACTGATGGTTAGAAGCTGGATCCAGCAGTCTTTTGCCATTGGGATCATAAAAAAAAAACAGCTGATCTTAACCACTAACTAAGCAAAATAATCAGTCTCAATCTATTATACACTCATCCTGTAATAAGTAAAGCCACAAAGTTGGTCATTTTAATTAATAATTACATATTGGTTCTGCTTGTTTACTAATTTGATAATTAATAATGCAGAAATTCAGCCTGAAAATCTAGGTTTATTATTTTAGTGTTATATAACTTCAATTTACAACGTCAGACACTTTGTAGCAGACCTCATGATAGACAATTATCAACTCACCAAACTTTCCCTCCAATCTCTGATTCATGAGGTCCTGAGCTTCCCGCCGTAACTGCAATGCATGTTCTGCAATCTCATCACTCGCAAGGTTTGATGTCATTACAAATATGGCGTTCTTGCACTCAATTATTGTTCTTCCCATTCCATCTGTCAACCTACCCTATAATAAGTTAAAAGTCTTTAGTCACAGGACACTGTCACATGCTCGGAATGGGTCTTTTTAGGTGATCCACTATGTATGCAGAAACCAGGATGAGAAAGCTGAAGATGTGCTCTTTGATTTGAATATAAAATGCTAGAGTCAGTTTGGGCAGTGTTCTTTGGTAAGTCGACTGAGAAACAGCAATTCCTCAAGAGGCTCTAACTAAGGTTACTTTCAAGTTCACCAGGACTGCAGATATCAGATTATTTTTCTTAAGGTTTTTCAGTGGAGTCAAAAAGTTAAAGTGGCTGACACATATCAGACAGTAAGGTCGCCCTAAAGGAATGAAAAAAGTTAAATAAAAAGTCTTTAAATCAGATTTTGAACTATAGCCTACATTTATAACATTATTGTTGTAATATTTTAAAGATAGTTCAATCAAATATTATATGATCATCCTGAAAGAGTTTACCTATCAGGATCGTGTTGGTAGGAAACATAACATTTTAAAAACCCAACCACTGCTAAATCAAGATAATTACTAAATTGATCACAGTTTTTCTGTAACAGGTTATCAAGGGCTGACTGTAAACAGGAACTATTATGCAGTATCTACAGTCCAATCTTTTCACAAACCTCATCAAACAATTTAAGCAATACAGTGAGAACATCAGGATGAGCTTTGTCAACTTTGTCAAACAGAACAACAGCATCGGGACATTTTCTCAGTCTCTTGGTCAGCTGACCTCCGCCATCAAATCTTACATACCCAGATGGGGCTCCAATCATCTTGGCTACCTAAACATAACACACAATCGTCAAACATAACAATAGCATCAGGACATTTCCTCAGTCTCTTGGTCAGCTGACCTCCGTCATCAAATCCAACATACCCAGATGGGGCTCCAATCATCTTGGCTACCTAAACATAACACACAATCATCAAACATAACAATAGCATCAGGACATTTTCTCAATCTCTTGGTCAGCAGACCTCCGTCATCAAATCTTACATACCCAGATGGGGCTCCAATCATCTTGGCTGCCTAAACATAACACACAATCATCAAACAGAACAACAGCATCAGGACATTTCCTCAGTCTCTTGGTCAGCTGACCTCCGTCATCAAATCCAACATACCCAGATGGGGCTCCAATCATCTTGGCTACCTAAACATAACACACAATCATCAAACATAACAATAGCATCAGGACATTTTCTCAATCTCTTGGTCAGCAGACCTCCGTCATCAAATCTTACATACCCAGATGGGGCTCCAATCATCTTGGCTGCCTAAACATAACACACAATCATCAAACAGAACAACAGCATCAGGTTATTTTCTCAGTCTCTTGGTCAGCTGACCTCCGTTATCAAATCCAACATACCCAGGTGGGGCTCCAATCATCTTGGCTACCTAAACATAACACACAATCATCAAACCTAACAATAGCATCAGGACATTTCCTCAGTCTCTTGGTCAGCTGACCTCCGTCATCATGTCCAACATGACATGAGTAATGGAGCCAGGCGGGGCTCCAATCATCTTGGCTACCTAAACATAACAATAGCATCAGGACATTAACACAATCCTTTCATCACAACCAAAATACCCTGGTGAGTGTTCCAATAATGAAACAACAGCATCAGTATAATATTCCAGGAAGATGTACCGTATAAGTGTTATGTTCATGTACCATAATCTCTTTTGGAGTATGCCTTGATTACTTAACATGTCCTTTCTAAATACAAAGGTTATCTACAGGATGACCAAGTATTTTTTTCTTTGGTAACATCTAAAAGTTGAATGGTATCTTCTGCAAAGTATAAAACATAAGAACAAAAAACTTATGTTAAAATAATCTATAAATATAAAACTCGACAATATACAAAATGGTTAAAAATTGCTCTTAACCAATTTACTGTGTAACAGAGTTATGGTCAAAACTAGAAATTTCAAATCTCAAAACCGAAACCGAAATTTAAATATCAGTTCCCAAATCTCAAATCTTAAAACGTAAAACTTTTTTATTTGCCCAGTCAGAGGCTCCAAAAAAATAAAATAAAATAAATTCCAACCACATGTTTTATTTACAGCGTAGGGTGAAAATAGAGAAGCCTGAACATCACATATTTTTGGTTGATTTTTCGACCACTGGACGACCACAAGTACCAATTAAAACAAAATTGTAACACACTAGCTGATTAATTACCTCATGTTTCTCCTGGTATTCCGACATATCTAGTCTTATAAAGGCGTCAGCCTCGTCTTTGTGTATATAATGGGCCAACTGTTTGGCTAGTTCAGTCTTGCCAATCCCTGAGGAGCCCAGGAACAAAAATACCAGAGGATGCTCATCATCAGCCCATCCGTTTTCTTTACGCCTAATTGCTGAAAAGTGAAAAATATATCTTACTTAACATTTATGAATATTTTCATCCTTTTATTAAAGAAGCCAATAACAAACATTTTGATTCAATATGAGTACAGTAAGCGCAAGCAGTCTGGGCACTCGGTTCCGTCTCTACTAGCCATCCTGTGTCAATACCAAACATTTTGATTCAATCTGAGTAGGCCTACAGTAAGTGTAAGCAGTCTGGGCACGCAGTTCCGTCTCTACTACCTGTCAATATCCTGTATTGGACCTACCTGTATTGGTCCTGTGTCAATACCAAAATTTTGATTCAATATGAGTACAGTAAACGCAAGCAGTCTGGCCACTCGGTTCCGTCTCTACTAGCCATCCTGTGTCAATACCAAACATTTTGATTCAATCTGAGTAGGCCTACAGTAAGTGTAAGCAGTCTGGGCACGCAGTTCCGTCTCTACTACCTGTCAATATCCTGTATTGGACCTACCTGTATTGGTCCTGTGTCAATACCAAAATTTTGATTCAATATGAGTACAGTAAACGCAAGCAGTCTGGCCACTCGGTTCCGTCTCTACTAGCCATCCTGTGTCAATACCAAATATTTTGATTCAATATGAGTACAGTAAGCGCAAGCAGTCTGGGCACTCGGTTCCGTCTCTACTAGCCATCCTGTGTCAATACCAAACATTTTGATTCAATCTGAGTAGGCCTACAGTAAGTGTAAGCAGTCTGGGCACGCAGTTCCGTCTCTACTACCTGTCAATATCCTGTATTGGACCTACCTGTATTGGTCCTGTGTCAATACCAAAATTTTGATTCAATATGAGTACAGTAAACGCAAGCAGTCTGGCCACTCGGTTCCGTCTCTACTAGCCATCCTGTGTCAATACCAAATATTTTGATTCAATATGAGTACAGTAAGCGCAAGCAGTCTGGGCACTCGGTTCCGTCTCTACTAGCCATCCTGTGTCAATACCAAACATTTTGATTCAATCTGAGTAGGCCTACAGTAAGTGTAAGCAGTCTGGGCACGCAGTTCCGTCTCTACTACCTGTCAATATCCTGTATTGGACCTACCTGTATTGGTCCTGTGTCAATACCAAAATTTTGATTCAATATGAGTACAGTAAACGCAAGCAGTCTGGCCACTCGGTTCCGTCTCTACTAGCCATCCTGTGTCAATACCAAACATTTTGATTCAATCTGAGTAGGCCTACAGTAAGTGTAAGCAGTCTGGGCACGCAGTTCCGTCTCTACTACCTGTCAATATCCTGTATTGGACCTACCTGTATTGGTCCTGTGTCAATACCAAAATTTTGATTCAATATGAGTACAGTAAACGCAAGCAGTCTGGCCACTCGGTTCCGTCTCTACTAGCCATCCTGTGTCAATACCAAATTTTTTGATTCAATATGAGTACAGTAAGCGCAAGCAGTCTGGGTACGCGGTTACGTCTCTACTAGCCATCCTGTGTACATTTGAGTCTGACTTACAAGAGGTATAAATGAGACAACGATGACATCATAGTTTAGTTCAAAATTTGCTGTAGTAGAGAGCACAGCGTTTAATTTTTATTTCACTATTAGTTAATTATAAAATTAAGAAAAATAATAAAATTAATCTTATAATTTTTTATTTATAAAATTAAACTGTCATAACCTAACCAAACTTGCTGATAATGAAAAAATCAAATGAAGGTTTACTAATCGAAAAAATGTTCTGTTCTTAAAATAAAATTTACAAATGCCTCAAATTCAATTTTATAATTATAAAATTAAATTGTCATAACCTAACAAAACTAACCAAACTTTCTGATAATGAAATAAACGGTATCAGCATTCTGACACATATACTTTCTCCCATAAGTTTTTCAAAAACCTTTATCATGTGTAAGAGGTGAGAGTAGATATACAGAAATGGGATTTGTACAATTTTGTTAAGAATTTAAAGGACATACTACATACTAATAACTAACATACTAAATTTTTATCAAAATCGTTCGGGCCATTGTTGGTAAAATCCTTTTTTTCTGTTATTTTATGGGAAAACTAGCTGTACCCACGGGCTTTGCCCCGTTTAACTTCATATGTGAGCTTGTTTGCATGGCTCAATCACGTCCTGGTTGAAGTTCGTTCGCTACGCTCACTCACCTTTAGGTTGGAGCTCGTTCGCTGCGCTCACACGTCCTGGTTGAAGTTCGTTTGCTACGCTCACTCACCTTTACGGTTGGAGCTCGTTTGCTGCGCTCACTTGCCTTCAGGTTAGCTCGTTCGCTATGCTAACTCGCCTCCGAGTTGAAGTTTGTTCGCTACGCTCACTCACCTTTTGGTTGCAAATTAGCTATTGTCATAAATTAAAAAAAATAATAGTGCTGCACTCTGTTGGTAATCCTTGTAACTTTAATGCTATTGAACATCACAGAACAGAACCAACTTGTTTAATTGAAACAGATGGTATGATTCATTAATTCCATTTAAATATGAGTACTCATTAGGTTAACATGGGAAACTCCAGAGCCACTGGGGCGGAGCCCGAGAGTCCGATCAGAATAAAAACCACTTAGTTTTCCTATTTAATGCCTAAAGAATCAGTGTACCAAATTTCAGCCTCCTAGGTAAGTGGGAAGTGGGAGAATTAGTGATGAGTGAGTGAGTGAGTGAGTGAGTCAGTCAGTGAGGGCTTTGCCTTTTATATATATAGATACCCATTAAAAATCAAAACTTCTAAAAAAAAACTATCAAAACTTTAAGGACCATAAACATACTATGTTAAATCAAAACCGGATTTTTTCTAAAATCTAATTTTTGTTGTTGTTTTTTTATGGAGTTTTTATGGGAAAATAACATAATTTACAATAACTTTTGAACTGTAATTTTTTACAGAAATGGGATTTATACCATTTTGTTCAGAATTTAAAGGGCTACAACATACTAAATTTTTATCAAAATCGTTCAAACCATTTTTGAGAAAATCCAATTTTTCTGGTTTTTTTTATGGGTTTTTGTGGGAAAATCCCCATTAAAAATCAAAATTTCAAAAAAATGAAAAAAAATGCCTGGAGATACCATGGATTAGAACCTACATATCAAATTTAATCGAAATCGGACCACAGGTGTAGTCCCTAGCTCTGTACACATCCACACATACACGCCATCCCTATACTAATGTGGACATGGGTTTTTAACCAAACTATGTGGACATCAAGGCACACGGCTGAAAAAAATATCCTAGGTTCTTTCTAACCTCAAATTGAAGAAGAATAAAAGAACACTCCTTGTTTATTGGTCTAAATGTAGTAAAAAAAATCATAAAAATTGTGTGGACGTCCCCACAGTTAATGCAAGAGTCGATCATGTCCCCACAGGTAATGCAAAAGCTAGTACACATGTCCAAACAGATAATGCAAATGTTGACACAATCGAGTGTTTTTTCGCTTAAAGGTGTTAATGTCCACACAGTTTGGGAATTTCACTGGTTACATTTTGACAGTATATTTAGGTTATGTCTCCACTCTTCTTTATTAACAAATTGTTGTATATTAGTCACATCCGAACTGCTATGTAGCATATGAAATAACAATATTCATGTATTAATTCATAGTAAAAAATATTTAATAAGTAAGAAATACAGTTTCTCGTCAGATAAAAATATCAGGACAAAATACTTATTGATGTATCATAGGTATACCCCCACCAGGTAACCGATAGGCGTACTCAGATAGTTGGCCATTCCTGTCTGGGCCGTCTAAATATCAACAATGTTTGTCTCTGGCGTTACCTAATAAAGTTCATTTATTCAGTTTCAAATGTGAGTTTTATTATATTATAGTATACCTCCAAGAACACGTTACTTATGTCTTCATAAAGATATTACTGGAGAACCATCGATATTTTTTTAAGTGATACAATTTTTTTACGGTTTTTTTAAGGTCAACGAACATTATGTCTGGAAATGACGTCACGGCTCACGTCAGTCACGTGACCACGCAGGGAGCGCGGCAGTCTACGTCAACTCCTACGTCACAGTCCTGGAGATCCAAACAGCGATCACGTACCCCACCTCCCCCCGCTACGTACAATAGACAACGGTCAACATCAGCTGGTTATCCACGTCATCCACGTTCCTATAAACATTCGCCGTCCCGATATAGGTCACCGTCCCCGCACCGCCGCTCGGACCATGAACTATCCAACAACAACCGGAAAACCTGTCGTTATTGTTTTAAGAGACACAGTCCATCAAAATGTCCCGCAAAAGACTGGATCTGTCACAACTGTGGTAAACAAGGACACGTTGCTGGTTTTTGTCATAGCGCTAATTTTGTTAACATGTCTAATACATTAATTAATGAGTCCGGTCCTTTGTCTGTATGTATACAAGTAAATGGTACACCTACTAATTGGCTAGTAGATACTGGTAGTGCAGTTAGTATTTTGAGAGCAGATCTGGCTAGGAGCTTAAAGCTAACTAAATTGTCACCTTTTCTAGGTCAAATCAGAAGTGTCAATGGTCAAGAATTAAATATTTTGGGTACTTGTGAGGTTGAGGTTAAACCCCAAAACCAATTGAAGCAACATTTTTTGAATGTTATTGTAGCTGAACAGCTGTCATGTCCCGCTCTTTTAGGGAGAGATTGGTTGTCAGTTTTGTCACCAAACTGGTCAACTAACTTACTGTCGGGATGTTTGTCTAACACTAATGATTGTCCAGTAAATTATGTGTCGAGTCCAAACGATGAATGTCAGTCCGTGGTTCAATGTAGGCCTAAAGCAAATGTAGTTGAAGTTTTGTCAACACGTTTCCCTTGTGTTTTTTCAAAGAAAAACAATGAACTACCAATCAAAGATTTTAAAGTCAGTATAAATCTGAAAGATGATGTTCAACCTGTATTTCACAAAGCGTACACAGTCCCTTATGCCTTGAGAGATGAAGTAAATCAAGAGTTTGTAAAGAAGTGTTTTTGACTCCCAAGAGAATTTTTAGGTTTAAGATACAAAGGTACTCGGAGACATCAAAATGA